TGTGAGCCGCCCTGAGTCCCCCTCGGGGGAAAAGGGCGGCATACAAATGAAATAAACAGTTAAACAGTTAAACATTGTTCTGTAAATGTAGTGTCCTCTTCAAAGTACAACTCTCCTTATGCTTGAATGCATGGTGGTGGCAGATACTCTGCAAGTTTGGCCCTGGTCTCCCCCCATTTGAGCATTCCTCAAGTGAATGCCTTAATGGGATTGACGTTTCATCCTCTTTTCAGTACTGGTTTACTTTAAGTTTGATTTAATAATGCTGTTTGGGGACAAGAGAGAATAAGAGAGACACACTTCTTCAATACTGTATGTATTATTTTAATAACTTAAAAATGTATTTGAATTACTATTTCTAAGAAGGTTTATTTTTCAGTCTCCTTTCCCAGGAGATGATGAAGAAGAAGTTTTTGACAGTATTGTAAATGATGAAGTAAGATATCCTCGATTCCTGTCTACAGAAGCTATCTCAATAATGAGAAGGGTAAGATTGTATTTCTGAAATAGCTATTGTAACATGAAAGTATGTTTTACTGGTACTAATAGCAGCGTATCTTGTCCCATTACCATTGAATAGAAATGCTGAATGCATGGCCTTTAATTTAATGGCAGACATAAGTGAGAACTTAGGACATTTCCCTCCACTCTATCAATGGACTTTGGAGAAGGTGCTATTATGCAAGTAGAAATGCAACCAGAGGCTCGCTGATGGTTAAGGACTAAACCTTGAATGTACACAAAATAGAAAATTAGATTTCTAATTAAATGCATGAGGGCAAATGAAGCTGGAAACTTAATGAGCAAATTAACTGGCCTTATTCTGTTTAGCTTGCTTAAGTAGTATTTATAAATTGAAGGAGCTTCAGGACAATGTTTCTAATTATCTAATTGGGTAGCCCTGCTTCGCTATTCTGGTAAACCTCGATTGTTTTGAAAGACGAACAAAAGTAATAATAATAAAAAACTTGATTTGACTACTTTTCAGAGAAAGCAGCTTCTGTTTCCCATCTTTGTCTAAAGCGTACTGTGTCTATCCAGACTATGATTCTGTGCTTGATTTGTTTGGAGTAGTATCATACTATACATAGAAAAGAATGACCTGACTTCATTCCTGACATTGTTTTCAGCTTCTGAGGAGAAATCCAGAGCGTCGCCTTGGTGCCGGCGAAAAAGATGCTGAAGATGTCAAAAAGCATCACTTTTTTCGGGTGAGTGCCATCTCTCAAGCATGGTTACAATGTAACAATAGCCAGAAGCACAACACTTAACTGGTGCTCTTTTTACAGTTAATTGACTGGAATGCGTTGCTCGCCAAGAAAATGAAGCCCCCGTTTGTCCCAATCATACGAGGAAGAGAAGATGTCAGCAATTTTGATGATGAATTTACCTCAGAAGCGCCTATTCTCACTCCACCTCGGGAGCCTCGGATACTTTTGGAAGATCAGCAGGAAATGTTCAGGGACTTCGACTACATTGCTGATTGGTGTTAATCTTATAGTCACTGTGAAAATTCCAGCCGATTTGCTCCCCAGGACAACTTTCTCCCGTCGCCCTAAGAAGACCATTCTTTGGATCACTCTGCTGCCTGTAGCTTCTCATTTTTAAATCATATGAAGATTTTTAAACAGTACTGTTTTTAATACAGAGGAGGCATGGCCTCTCTTTTGTATATCTTTTTTTTTTGTTTCTTTCTAACCTTGAGCACTGGAAAGCAATTTTGTGCAGCTCTTGAAGCTGATTCAGTGGGTGCGGGCTGTTTTCCACATTCACATGGGCACCCTTGTACTGTATCTTTATTCTTCCAGAGAAGAAAGCATCACAAAACACCTGCCTTACAAAGTGGGACCACAAACAGATAACTAAGCTAGACCGATCACCTGCCCGAGTTTTAAGGAAAGAAAACAAAAGCTGTCGGTCCTTTTCAGAAGGAGAATGAACGTCCCGTCCTCCCCCCGAATGGCAGAACTCAAAAAGACTGTCAAGCACACTAGTGACTTGATTTCTCAAAATAATGTGTATTACAAACTAATGCCTTGTTTAACAAACTCTATGGTATTTATTAGTGAGGAGATGCTTCAAAACCTTACATATGTCAAAGCAGCATCAGTGCTTCCATTTGCAGAAAAGGACTGGTCCTAAAAGTTTACCAAAGTCACTTGCTAAACAGATGTGTTTGCCTTTAAATCTTGTTAAACACTGTTCAGAAATAACCAGCAAATATGAAGAATGTAATGAATGTTTTTTCTAGTCTTAACCAGGAATACTCATAAATGTATGAATTTCCCTTAAATACGCAATCACTGTTCTATATTTTTAAAGTTGTGTATTTTCCACATTAACTTCAATCATATTCTAGCAAATCAGTATATCTAGTTATCTCATTCATCATACATTTGCTGTTCAAAATGTTCAAAACATTCATGTTTAAAGAATGAGGAAATGTATTGTATACATCCAGTATACGTATATTTGGAAACTAGTTTTGCTTAAATCATATAGAATAACTGTACACTTAGTTTTGTCCAGTGGCCGTTTGAATGTATTACTGAAACCCCAGATTTAATGGTGAAAACCCACTTGTATACATTTTTATGGCCACTGAAGTCAATAATTGTCATCGGAAATTACTGAGAATAAGGGTAAAAGCAATATGTTTTAAGAGAATGTATAAATATTTTTGATAAAACTTGTATATCTTAAGTCTCTTAACACTATGCTGTACCTCAAAAGTTAAAATATTTTTGACCAGATGCTGTGTGTTTGCTTTACAGACTTTAATGTAGTTAAGACATTCTGAAAGAACAAAATCATGTTTTAAATCGGTGGAAAGCAACATTCCACTTTGTCAGTATATGTGTTTGTGATCAACTTCATTTCCTAACACCAGAAGATCAAGAATAAGCATGGAAGTTTTTAATTAGTAGACCTACTATTCTATCTGGAATGTGATTCAGCATCAATAAGTCACATACTGGGCAGATTTTGCAAGAAAGTAGAGTAACACCAATAAGGGATTCGTGTGGAGTGCTGGGGGTGGTGGTATTTTTTTCATAATCTGTTCCATCACCCCACTCATAAACTATTTTGTTTCATATGATAGCTGGGGACTCTATTCATAGTTTATAACCTGACAAGAATATAAGGAATAAGAAGGTTGCCAGAATAAGAGATTTGTACATTCCTTCATAAGGAAGATACTTTTTATAAAAATCATGAATATTACTAAGTTGCAGGGTTTTTTAAAAAAAATGCACTACCTATCATTTTTCAGTATGCTAATTTGGCTTTCTTAAAATTTCAAATGGCTACCTTAATTAAGCAAAACACTACATATCTGAGGTACAATCTGCCAACCCCTCATTATTTCTATAAACAGCTAGGTCCCTGGTAGGTGCTTCAGATTTAAAATCCTATGGAAGAAACTTTTTGTAAGTACAAGTTGTACAGAAATGTTTATAATCTTGAATTTCTGAAAATCACATTAGAGGCAGGGTATTTTCACAATTAAGCTGAATGAAAGCACTAATTTTATCTAGTTTTGAAAAATAGACAAATTAAGTTTTAAACTCTAGATTGTAAATATATTTTGCTATACATATGTGGCTGCTGAAGCACTTTGTAAAAAAAAATTAGGGTATTTTAGAATGGTACACTATGCATTTAAATGAAATGTGCCTTTAACAGTGTATTAGTACAAACTATCTGCAATTCTCAAAATTTAAATAGTGAAATTTGTATAGGAAAAAAATTACTGATTTGAATTATAATCTTGTGTTTGATCTTTAGATAAATGATGTCTTTGGAACTTTGTGTGAATTACTTTTTCTTTCAGGGTGGATAAATGTCTGATTTGTTTTTTAAACATTTAAGAAACCTCCCTTAGGTGCAGTCTTCTAATCAAAACAGTTTATAGAGCTGCTTAGGAAATTCCTTAATGGTTCACTTGGGAAACTGATTCTTTGTTTGAAACTTCTGTGCAGTATTCAGTGGGTAAATTGGAAGCTAAACTAATAATTTGCAGCATATGGTTTCAACTGAAATGAGTATCTCTCCCACACAGGCTGAATTTAAACTTCACACTAAGCTCTGCTTTATACTAATTACAGTAGCCTAAGTCACCACACCGCTATGGCAAGAGTCTCATAATCCAGTAAACCCAAACTGCATTTATGTATACCAGGTTTACATTACACATTACAATTCATGGGATGGGAAGGGGGTACGAAGACCTGCATTGAAAGCTTGGAAGGACTTGAGTTTTTTACGAAATGTTGGAAGATTGGCCCTAAAATAATTCTCCTCAGCTTTTATTTCTGTCAGTTCTTGACAGTTTTTTTAAAGCTGGTCCTTAAATGAGATGATTATTTCCTGACGCGTTGTCTCATTATTGTACCCGAGAGAAACAATTGAAAATGACTGCGTGAAATACACTTAGAGCCCTTCCAAACCATTCATTGAGAGAAGCCCTTAATTTACCAGTTAACTGAGATCAGAATAGATTTGTTAAGAACACGACTTGCCAATAAATCTTGTAAGGTTTTTAATTAAGTAATTTAATTGATGAGAAATCTACATTCATAATATACCTTGTTTCTGGACAAAAGATCAGATCAGATCAGAAAGCTAAGTTTTATTTTGAAATGACAATTATATAGGTTGAAAGCTGGCTTATCATACTCGGAATGGTTTCCCATCACACTAGAGATGAATCAAATGGGTACCACAAAAGTTAATCTTGAAGCCGCCTCACTTTATTTTGTCATTAATATCAGTATATAAGAGGAATGGAATCCTTCGCAAAGTTGTATGATATAGAGTTTTACAGTATAGTTAAAAATCAAAATAACCTAGATGAATGGACTGGAAAAAAAATGAAACAACCCATGCAGAGTCTGTCACTTAGGAAACAAAAATCAAATGTCGAGTCATAAAATGAGAATACCTGCTTTGGTAATCATACTTAAGAAAAAGACTAAAATAGAAGAAAATTCTGCAGTGATCAAACTCTTCAACTCATGTCCAATTCTGGGTGCTCCACTTCGATTGAGGCACTAGAACATGTTCAACTAAGTTCAGGATGATCAACAGACTAGAAATCTGAGTCCTATGAAAGGAATTTGACAAAACTGAACCTGTTGATAATAATACAACAGCAATCTTCAAATACCCGAAAGCATATCAGAGAAGCCACTCAGGGTCTGTATTCATTCTAGATAACCGAACACAGAAGTGAATTTATTGTTTAAAGGCAGATCCTGATTGGGTGTTAGGAACCAATAACATATATCAAACAGTGGACTATCCTTTTACTATGTTCAAGCATAAATTGAAAATGTTTAATTTTGATTTTTCTGCTGAGCAGAGGATTGAACAAATAATCCCAACATTAAAATACCTATGCTCTGCATAATAGTAAGTACATTTTCATGCTGTTAAGCAATTAATATTTCAATTATCTCAAGATTCTAAAATGATTTAAGCCCAGCTTTATTTTTTGGTTACTTTCTTACCTTTTGTCTAAAGTTAATTCTATTTCCTATAGGTTTGGATCCATTACTACTTAGACATGATTTTTAATCGTGGTTTTTAAAAAGCCCTAGATAAAATTCATTTACTGGACTTACACATAAAAGGTCTGTGCTGATTAGGTTTTGACACTGATAGAAATGCCCTCAATGAATTACATTGAATGAATTACAAACCAAGATGGTTTATTGTAGTGAGTTGGATTTCTGTGCCCTTACTCTACAGTATAGACTACTGCAGGCAAAGATTGACACTAACACAAAATAGGAGTGTACTTGCCAGGATAATACCATCTTTTGGTAACATCCCTTAACAAAATAATGCCAAATCTTAGACCCATGAAATTGTATGACTGCAAACCATTTTCATGAACAAAGAAATTGAAGAAAGATATAAGCCTCCAGGATTAATTTTATTTTTCATATACATTATAAAGCTTTATACTAAGCAGACTTATTTTTTTTTTAAATTATCATGAGCTCTGTCATTTTATAGCTGTTGAAGTGGCAAATACATCCCTACTCAAAAGGAGTGAACTTGATTTTGCAATTTGGACAAGAGCTTCTAGTCACAAAAGATTCTATTTCTAATTCACCTAAATGCTGAATAATCATTAAAGTATACATTTTCCCAGTTCCATCTCAATGGTCTGGAGGGACTAAGGATCTCCTTCTTCCCCACACATACACACACACACACACACACACACACACTCCTACTGTTATCTTTCACCTCAGCTGTGTTTCAGTGGTTAAACTGACCAGCTCTGCTAAAGAAAACAGTAATGGCAGAAGGGAGCTGCTGGAATATCAAGTTAGACAGAAAAAAATTGCACATGTAGGGTAAAGAACATTCGATTCAGTTTCCTTCCTGTTCAACAATGGTACTCAACTGTTTTCAATGCCTTAGTAATAGTCTACTTGTTTTTAACTAGACTATCATCATCACTGACCAAAAAATATTCCTGGCTTTGTGAAGAGAGAAACGGTGATTGTCCCACTTCTATTCAAAACTCAGCAATAGAAAAACTGCCTCTTATGACAGAGACCATGAACATAATATGGTCATCATTTTTTCAAGTAGCCACACAAGGTAACGAAGAGACATGCTCTTGATTTATGGAACTTTAAATAGAATGAATCCAAGTATAAACTTGACATGGTTAATCTTTTCCTAAGGTGAACAGATTTTTTTTTACAAGTATACTTATTATATGAACTATATTTTCTCTGAATTAGAACTTCCCATTATAATTAACTAAGAATTATCAAGAAACAATGCAAAATCCATGTACAGCATCTAATTCGGAAAACTGAACAACTTATATAGATTACATTTTCCACTTGGATATTTATTTAGAACAAAGTTACATACAGTAAAACTTGTAGGTCAGTACTGTTTTTTGGAAAACAGTTTATTCTGATTTGAAATATTTTCCAAAATACATTTTGCCAGATCTCTATGAAAGAAATCTAAATACACAGAATAGAAAATTAAATTTGCTGCAATGGTTGTTAAATACTTACATTCACTAATATATACATAAAAATGCCACAAAATTATTTTGTTTACATCTGGAATGTGTGCTCCATTTCATCCGATCAGTTTTTCCATCTCCTTTCATTCACCAGTCCTGCAATTGAAGGCTTGACAGGACTGCTTTTATATGCTTAGTGCTTTTCTAAGTCAAAAATTATTTTGCAGGGCTTTGAAGTTTCACAGCTGGGGCAGTTTGTCCACTGGAGTGTCAAATCTGAAATCTGCTGGGAAAAGGTCTGGAGCACGTGGATAAATCAGCCTATATGACTGTCTTATTGTAACATCAGCTACACCAGCAATGTCTCCAATTTCTGAAATAAAAAGCCAAGGTAAGCAAATTAGCACTTATTTGCTAGAGTCCCAATTCTCCAAATCCACAAATAATGCTTACAAACTCCAAAACGAATTATATAATTTACAATTTAGGAGTTTAATCCTGATATTTAAATTCAGACACTTTTAAGGATGGTTTCAACTAACACACACCAAATAAGGTGTAAAGGAAGTGAGAAGGCTTTGCTACAAAGCAACAGTTCATAATACCATTTACATTTATTTCCAATTCTTTCTGGACCAATCTGAAGTGTCTGAATTAACCTCTACAATTCACAGGACAGTTTGCTTTCTATCCTGAGACACACTCAAGCTGCCACTGCTTGGGTTTACTAATCAAAGAAAGCAAAAATATGGTTTATTCTAATTTAATACAGTGCACAGACTCAATCCTTGTGGCATTTTCAGTAACCATGATTTAGTCTGCTCTGTAATTAATTAAATAGCTTACTAAATTAGCCCAAAAGAAGAGCAGAAATTCAGCACTGACTACTGGACATGTATTTCAAACAAAACAGAAGAGCCCTTATGTAAAGCAGAGTTTGCGGCATCCATGCCAATTCTTTCTCTTTAAAAAAAACCCTATTTCTGGCATGTATAAAAATTACTTTCCTAGATACATAAAGACATTACCTTTCTGTGTTCTCTTTTCAGCCGAGGCTTGTGAAGCCATATAAATAGCAGCAGCTGCAACTGAGATAGGACTCCTTCCAGGAACTAAATCTAATTCCACAGCTTTACGCGCAATGTGTGTTGCAGCCATCTGGACTTGCTTAGGGAGACCCAAGTTGGAACAAAATCTGGACATGAAATCTCCAGTAGTGATCAAATCGACACTTGTTTCTAAAGCTTTCAAGATGAGTTTGAAACACCGGCCTATTTCTTTTTTGGAAATTCTGGAAACAGCACATATTTCTAAAGGATACAATAGTACATAGGTCACAAAGAATTTAGATCAACACTCCCAGTCACCCTCTCCATCAATTAAAGCTTAACACGGTTCTTTCATTGTTGGTGGTTAACTTTTCATAGCACAGATATAAAATTAATCTATGAAACTAGTAAAGTAAAATTTTGAGAGTTTAGCCAGGCTTAATTGCTATATTTACACATGCACGCATGCACAGGGGCACACATACATTAGACATCAGCAGAATTTTTAAAAAGTTGAAATTTCAGCAAAAGATTATTGAAGTGAAAATGCTTGTCTAGATCAAAACAGCAAAGATAATGACAGCCTTTGGAACAAGGGAGAAATGAAAGTCTTAATTTCCTTGCATCGGTCTTCCTTCATTACTTTTCATTTTGAAATTTTTCAAAATGAAAAATTGATTGTTGATTACAAATTATACATCAATATGTGGCTTTGCTTCTTTTTTGAATCACTACAATTATACCCACATAGGG